ATGATTTATTATAAAATTTAATAAACATTTTCTGATTTTAATAAATATTTTAAAAGATACTAACTAGTTAATAATTTATTACTTGAAAAATATTTTATGTTTTATATTATAAAGTAATTAATTTGTTCTTTTGTTTGTATATTTTGTTAATTCTTTTTTATAAATATTTTTTTGAAATATTAAATAAAAATTATTAATGGAATAATCTATATTAATGTACTGTATTATATTAATATAATATACTAATATATTATATTTTTAATGTACATTAGTCGACATCCTGTCGACATAATAGGAAAAACTGTATTTTTTTTTTGTTATTTGGACCGATTTGGTTGATATTTCCGAAATATAGGAAATGCCGACTGACAGTGTAATTTTTATATTACCATCCATTTTCATGTTGGTGAGCCTCGACATCAACATATGTCAGGCGACATTAGCAACATTTGGCGGCATTTGAAACCACGTTTGCCAGTCGGTGCATCCTTCTTTTCCATCGATACTATTTACAATACTTTGGCGTCAGACAAAAGAGTTGCAGATTTTATTTTCATTGAGAGAGCTTTATCCAGTCCATGAATTACTACCCACCCATTCAGCTTGAAGACTTGAAGCAGCTCTGATCCTTCGACTATCTGTTGAATTCACATATTGATAATTATTTCGTAAGACAATACCTGTCCACGCTGTTCCCTTTGCTAGGTCGTATGAGCCATCCACATAAATATAGACATCTGTGTTCTGTTGAGAGTCTCCCCAGGCATTGTCTGATGCTTGTTCAGAGTTGTCAATGGGTTCTAGGTTCTATGTATGAATCAGCTTTATCTAGCAGCTGTGTGAGATCAAGTATGTGTTGTTGGTGGACCTTTGTATTACACATATCCCGTATGACTCTGAAAATGATGAAGAATTTGGCAGTATACCTCTGTTTGATGTTTGGTGATAAGTTTTTTAACTTTGCTGTTATCCAATCAGTGGCGAACTGACTCAGCTGTTTGTTATTTACTGCCATGATTATATAGCAGCATTACATAAAGGGCAGAGTTTTTCTGTTTCCTATTGAAAAAGGAGTTTGTCTCTAGTTTTCATTCAACCCCACCATTCCTAGCACATGAATATTTGAAACCTGAAGGGCAGTTTTGTTTTTCAGATGAGATTCCAGTTCTCATGTGGTCCTGAGGAGGATGGTTGCTGATCTATAAAGAATTTGTAGTCTGTTTTGACTCTGTATGTTGGTTTTTCTTGAACTCTTCCGTAGGAGTTTGTCTGAGTATGTGGATGGAATTCTGTTCAGTTGTATGATGTGGTTTATTGTTTCTTCCTCAAATAGATGCTGTAGTAGGGGGCCAGAACAGATTCCCTTTCAGCTGGTCAAATAAAACTACTACTTGCTTCCACCACCAAGAGTCCCTTGGTTTATTTGTTAGCTTTGAAGATAGATTGGATTTGATATACTTTTTTTTTTATGATTTTGCCCAGAGTTCTGATTTGACTGTGAAGAGTCTCCATATCTGTTTTGAGAAGAGAGCCTTGTTTTATTCCTCAATTTTCCTGAAGCCTATGCTTCCTTGATTGTTTTTTATTTCTTCCCTTCCGAACCTCTTCTAGATTATTTTTATTTCTTTAATTGTTTTTTCTGTAATAATGGGTGGGACATTAAGTAGGTGGGTAAGGCTTGTAACACTGTTTTCACCAGTGTAGTTCTCCCTGCGTGTGACAACAATTTTGCCTTCCAAGTAGCTAGTCTAGTGTTTATTTTATCCACAATTTTCCAATTGTCATTGTTTTGTTTACATTGGAAACATAGCTTGGCTCCCAGATATTTTTCTTGAATCATCATGCGTTTCATTCTGAAAATTTTGAGTATTTTTTCCTTTCTTCTGTGTATTCCTCTACTGAACTGTGCCCCTGCTTTTGTCTTTCTCCTGACCAGCATTCAAGCGTTGCCAGTATTTCTTTGACCTTCTTTAACTTATCTGGTTCATTCTTAAAGATTCTAACAGTCATCTGCAAATAGCAGATGTGGTATTGAAGGACCATTTCTACATAATCTTATACCTTGCAGCTCCTTATTATCTTCAGCTTTCAGGAAGAGACTAGACAGTGCTTGCATCCCTATGATGAATAGGTAAGGTGAAAGTGGATCACCTTGTCTTATTCCATTTAGATACCTGAAAAAAATTCTTTTAGAGTTCCATTTATTTTTATCAAGAACCTTGGTGTTTGAATACAAAAATTCACCATTTTGCACCATCTTTCTTGGCATCCCATTTTCTCCATCATTTTCGCTAAAAAAGCCCTTGGAATTCTATAATATGCCTTTAACATGTCTATCTTCAGCGTGGCCCATCCTTTTCCTCTGCCCTGTTTCTTCATTTTGTTTGCCATCTCTTGTGCTATGATGATACTATCAACACCTTGCCTGCCCTTAATGAATGCAACCTGGTTTTGAGCTATTAGTTTTTCTAATTTTTCTGCATCCTTAACACATATTTTACTAAGTTACAAATTTGGACTGTAGACCAGCAGAAAGAAGCCTACAGTTTCAACTTGGCAGAGAACTTCACCACGAGAAACCTACTCACCTTCTTTCTTGAGCCATCATGCAATGTTACCCTATCATAAGACAATTACTTAGTGCACTATGGGAAAAACAACAAAATGCTAAAAATCAACTTGGTGTGGAGGAAGCTTTGCAACCATGTTCCATACAAAAATTTGTATTATGGGTTACAAACTCAGTGCACTATGGGAAAAACAACAAAATGCTAAAAATCAACATTATAAGGAACGGTAAACATGCGTATTGGCAAATCAGTTTTAAGAAGCATATGATGGATGCATACAGATGCTCCAGAAAATCTAAACCATGGATATACTCAGAATTTAATAGATATAGAGAAGAGATCTGCTTAGTGCACGAATCAGCAATAGACAGCTATTTCATCAGGACTCCTGTATGGAGGGCTTAAAGCCTCCAGAGCTCCACTTGACCCCTGTGCATAGGCCAAAACCATAACGCATAGGATGGACAGCTGACCATCACTAATTAGTGTGCACAGAACAGATCCAAACGTATGCAGAAGGTTGGAACATTTATATCTAACAGACAAATAGTCATCAATTGTTTCTTCTTGTTCTGCACTTTCAGATGGATCCCTAGGGAGTTGAATCAGATTGCCGATAGCTTAGCTACATCTGGGTTGGGAAGGGATTTGTATAGTGTATTGCCATCTTTTTTATTATAAAAAGAAAATTTTACTAAAAGAAAAAAAAAAACAAGAATGCAAAGAAAAATACAATGCCAATTTTTTAGATTGGTTCATGTTCTTTTATGTGTATCCATGGCCCTTTCTTGTACATCCCTCCCCTGTTTGAAATTTTGAATTCAAGTTACCTTTTCTCGTAAAGAAAAAGTTTTCTTCTGGTTCTTCTGTACTTAGGCCACTAGTTATACCCTAGCATATGCACGTTATTATGAACAACTGAATTTCTTGGTAAGTTATTATTTATCTGCAAAAATCTTACAGATGGGATGACAGTTGAAGATGGAACAAACTCTTTTGTTGGGAAGTGCATCACCTGAAAGTAATACCTCTAAAAGTCTTCAGAGGAAAAGACCAGGCAGGTATCTATCTCCACAAATTTGTCTCTTGTAAACAGAGAAGCTACTTTCCCCTTGTTAATCTCCTGTCCTTTGTTATTGAAATTTGGGAATGGTTCTTTGCTCTATTGAGGTATTGGTGGACTCCAACATAATTGCTGGGCTTTCTATTCTTTCTATTTCAATCTACCAAGGAAAAGAGGGAAGATCATCTGGAGATGCACAAG